GTGAGACCGCACTACGTGTGGGATGGTGCGCCGTGAGCGCTCACTGGCGGGATCAGGTTCTGCGCGTGGTGGATGTGGGTGAGGATGCGGACTGGTTTCTTCTTCGTGACAGCGCAAAAAACGGTTTCAAGGCTATTTTTCCGAACTATGCACTTTTTACAGTTATTAAAGATATTGCACTTAAGGCGCTACGGCGTGTGCGTGATGGTCATGTCGATTGTGGCGTCGAGGATGCCGTGGAGTGCTACGAGGTGGTTACACACGTATTGTTTCCACTTCTTGAGGGGAAGGCGCCTTCATTGCCTGGATTGGAGGCCATGATTGAACAAAATACTTCGAGTGACGGTGAAGATGGCAGTGGCAGTGAGCGGCAGTCACAGCAAAAGGAAGATGAAGAGGAAGCGTGAGGAAATGTGTGTCGGCACTGATGTTAGAGAAGACAGGAAATGCGTGTGGTGACGCCGATGTTGCGCGTGGGGTGCGACTGTGCTTTGACTGTGGATCGTTTCTCCCACGAGAGGGTTCGAAGTGTGCCTTTGTAAGCAACATGTTTGTATGGCCATTGCAGTGTCTGGCTGCTCTTTTGGAGCTAATATCTGTGGCGCGCTACTCGGTGGATGGAATGAAGAAATTTGCTGCTGCCTTCCTCCCGTCCAACTGGGGCGATCAGGAGTCGTTGTTGGAGTTTCTCCTGCGACGCGAGCCTACGAATATCCCTCTTGCATCTCTCGTTGGTTTTCCACGCCTTGTGCGGGATGTTTTTGTTTCTGCTCAATGGTTGCGGAATGACAAGTACTTTCGGGCTGTGGTGGAGTGCCGTCGGCAGGGCTGCGCTTTGCCGCCCGGAGGAGTGGCGAACAACTACCTCCAGTGGCGAGCCCTGTTAACAATCCTTAGTCGGCTGGAGTACGGCGAGGAGGTGTTTGCACTCACAGTTCATGAGATGCCACCGGATGCTGCAAATGAAGGGAAGATGTGGAGCGTCGCGGAACTCGAATGCACACCCAAGACGTGGGCTGAAGGACTCGCGCTTATGATGACCACAGCCGCAGTTTCTGAGGAAAACCGAACATGAGCCTAACAAAAACAAAGAAAACATTTCTATGCGTCGATAGGAAACCAAAAAATAAAGAAATAAATAAAAAAAAAACATATTTATTTTCGTTCTTTATTTCTTTTTGGTTGCTTTTTCCTTTTAGTTTTTTTCTCTCCCCCCTCCCCCCCCCCCCCCTTTGGAAAAAATAAATTGTACTTTCATTTATTTGTCCGTTTTATTTATTAGATTCTTTTGTTTAAACCAAAAAAAAAAAAATCCTTTTTTCTTGTTGTTGGTGGTGGGGAGGCGTCTTTATACAATTTTACATCTTCAGGTACTCACATGTTGTCGCTGTCTCGTCTTGAAGAGGTGGCCGGAAAGGCAGAGAAGCTGCGATGTCTTTTGCGCAGTGCATTTTTTGACGACGCCCCGAGGATTGAAGCGGCCATCTTTGAGCAGCTTTTACAGCTGTTGGAGCACTGGTTCCCCGCCACATCTTCTTCTAATACAACTCCCGCACCTCAATTGGATGGTGATAATGATAATGATGCACGCCTTCTCATTGAACAATACTATCTTCAGGAGGTGTTTGCGGCCTTGCTGTTTCTTTCGGATGAGTCTTTTTTTCTGAACCGTGCGGTGTCTGTCGTACTTCTTCCGCGTCTTGAGAAATGTAATGTTCTCAAATCTGAGTTTTACGTGGATCTGCATGTGCGGCGGTTTTGCACGGAGCTGCTGCTTTATTTTTGTTTTTCTCAGGTATGTCAGACACCTCGTATCGTCCAGGCGCTTTATCCTCTTCTTCTTCACGGCAATCATGCGTTGGTAAATGGTGCATCGCAGAACCAAGTCGGGGAGGGTCTTTTTGATACACCTCGATTTCTTCAAAAGAAGACCCTTGTCTCCAGCCTGCTCAACGGTGTCATGCTGACGCTTCATGATGGCGTCGTGGGGGTGTTTCGTGTGCTGCTACTTGATGACCGCGTGGAGGACGGCATGACGGTGGATGCTGCTCGACACATCGCATCCCTTTTTTCTACTCCACTTCGGCGTGCGTGGCTTTTAAAAGAAGGCAGCGTTACATACACGAAATGTCTAGGATTGGATGAGCAGGCGCTTCTGCTCTCTGTACAACTGGTTGACCTCATGGCGTCTGATACCGAGACGTCCTTGACTCCAGATGAGGAACGAGTGCAAATTCGTTCATCCCACTTTTTGCAACAGCAGAAGATTAATCAAGAAAAACGTTTTTTAAAGCGTGAAACAATTCAGGAAAGACTGCATTTGGGGATTGCCACCATTTTTAACGCCACGTTGCATTTAATGCCTCGGAGCGAGGACAAATCGCTTTTTGCCCGCAGCTACAAATGCTTCTGCCTTTACAATAGGCACCTTCTCACACCAGCATTTTGCGTCCTCACCTTACGCGTGGCTGCTAAAGCTGATACAGATGAGATTTTATTTGCACTACGCCGTCTCTCAGTGCTTGCGCGGGGTTCCACGCTCGGTCCGTCACCAAGGGCATTGTTGCTCACTCTGGAACCACTTTCGCCTGGAATACTGGAGTTGCTTGCGCTTGCAGATACCCTTCCAGTGCAACACTCTGCGCTTCTTCAAAAAGTGTTAGGGGCCTTATGGGAATTATCGGCGCAGTTTGAAACACTGGCGCATATGTTTGTGCGAGGTGCATTTATGCCTGTTCGTGGGTCTTACTCGGTGGACCGAGTCCAGGCGAAGGTGATTGTGGATTTCGAGCATGCCTCTTCAAGTGTCATGCGCATACGTGGTTTGCAGCGTCTTTTATTACACGGCAGTATTCCAAAGGATGCCATATGTAAGTTACTAATGGCGATGGCAACGATGTGCCAACAGCGTGCTGCGATGGCAACTGCTGCTCACGTAGAAGAAAAGAAATGCTCAAAATCGGCTGCATTTCTGTTTGCAGAGAATGAATTGGAGATGAATTCAGATAACGATAATGAAGATATTATGTTGGCACATATGGTAGAAGAAATGTGCCTTAGTCTGACTTCGGATGAATTGTTTGGGACGTGTGTTACCCTTGATCGTATATGTGAAGTCCTGTCCACGGTAGTGACAATATCATACGCATGCTGGCATTGGGCAATGCTATTGATTCCCCGTATTCTTTCCGTTAATGTCATTCACAGTGTCTTTGCACAATATACGACAAATATAGAAAGGCAGAAGGCAGCACGCTTGTTTATTTCTCAGGCGCAGAGGCTCTTATCTTTGGTGAATGCCTTACATGATGCAGTTGTTAATACCGAAGCCACAACGACGCTGGAGAACTGTATTGCTGCAGTACAGCAATACAACTCCGATGCGGATGTGGACGATGCTACATTTGTTGAATGTCGAGGCATTGTGCGGTTGCTTGAGGAAAGCCTTGACATGAAGTCAACGGCATCGCTTGTGGTCCATCTCCTGGCACTCGCACGTATTGCAGAGCAGGCTGCTTCTTGTCTCCACCGAAAGCTTTTGACAGCTGATAAGAAGAACCTGAATGAAAATCCATTCAGCGACTCTGTGGAAGGCAGGGATGTTGTGCAAACCGCTTTGTGGCTGCTTTTTAGAGTGCTTATTGAGGTGGATGACGCGTGTGCGGCTGTGGCTGCGTGCAAAACGGTTGTGTGGTGGTCTCTTGCGCGTTTGGACTCCGTAGATTCTTCATTTGTGGCACGCCTTGTGGTGGGTCTCCTTGGCGTGGAGGAGAACAGCCCAATGGCACTGTGCTCAGTCCTTCCAGGTGTTACGAATGCCGTGACGCCGCCGCAAATCGGCCGTATGAAGGTGCGGTTACTTGATATCCTTCTGGGTCTGTGCGATTACGACGAGGAGGGACGCACACTGAGAAACATTGATGATTATTGCAAACTGGAGAGAAAGTGCACTCTTTACGATATTCTTGTCGAGTTGTGTGGGCCTCAGCACGGTCCCGTCGTGCAGGTTGCCGCCCTGCATCTCATTGGCCATTACGCGATTGCCACATATCCCCGTGTCTCACTTGCCGCAACGTGCGCTCTCTGCGTTGATGTCTTTCGACACACACCGCATGAGATGGCAAAGGCTGCATGTGCCTCGATGTTGTCAAATGTAGCAGGAACTCTTGAAGCGATGGGCATTCTGGCGGCCCTCAGCGAAGTTGATGTTGAACTTTTGCAGAGAATGGCAGAAGCCATGTGTAGTTATCGCGGTGCCGCAGGGGCTGACGATGATCACGAGGCTGTGATTCACCACCACGGGCGCTGCATTCGGAAAGTTTTGCAGCATTTGTTTTATGGATTGCGGGAGGCGTGAGATTTATCATAGTGTGTTTACTCTTAATTAGAAGCTGCAGATGAAACCGAAGGAGGAGGAAATGGATGTCAGCCGCATTTTTTTAACTTTTTTTGTTGTCGTTGTTATTTTGCTGATGGTTCTGGTGTTTGCGTTTTGCAGCCGGTTCTCACAAGAACGATACGGACACGCATAAACAAAAGGGAAATGAGAGAGAGAGAGAGGGGGCAGATGGGAAGGAATAAAAGAAAAGAAGAAAAGAGCATGAGAACGGCGGCATTCGAACATTATGGAAGACGAAATTTTTACTTTTTTGTTGTTTTTGTTTTGTCTTATTTGTTTTCTCTTTCAGTCTTTTTCACGCATACACTGCACTCTCTTTTAGCTGCGTCGGTGTGTGCGTGTTTGTGCGTGTGTTTGTTAGCTTAGGGTTTAGGGTGGGACTAAAATAGGGGCAGACCGGGGTTAGGGAAGTGCACAAAATTGCGTGCACACAAACAAACACGTATCTGCATCACAGAAGCTTCATTTGCGCCGAATCATAAGGAGGGAGCTGTTAACAAAATTGTAGTAGGAATAAGGATCCGAAGGCATTTATAGGATAGAGGGGAGTCAATGAGCGCGCAGACGTCTTCGCAGCCGCACCCACTGAAGGATCGCTGGTTCGTCACGTATTTTCCATTTGTCCGACAAAAGAAGAAGGGAAAGGACTTTGATGAGCAGCAAAAGCCAAAGGAACTGGACTGGGTGACGACAGCCGAGGAATTGTACGCCACCATCAATTCTTTCCCTTCGCTTGTGTTGCTGCCGTCAGATGACAACTTGGTCTTTGCCCGCAACAAGGTGGAGCCATACTTTGAGAACTTTCCTGAAGGCGATCGTGTCTGTGTCTTTACGCGGACAAAGGCGCAGAGTGAACAGGCTGTGGTGTTGGTGCTCGCAGCTGTCATGGGGGAACACTTGCGAAGTGTAACGGACTCTGAATGTGTCGCCGATGTTGTGCGCATTGCACATAAACCTGGGAATGTGTATCCGGAGTCATTGCGGGTAGAGGTGTGGCTGCACAAGAGTGATTTCTGTGAAAAGGTGGTGCAGTACTTTGTTGACCTATTCAAGACTTACCCCGGCATCAGAGTCGCTCGTCGTCCTATCAGCAGTGAAGTCACCGCCGATTGATTCTCGCACTGATTTTTTTGTTGTTTTTCTTGACTCCGTGTATGCGTGTGCGTTTGCGAATGTACATATATATGGCGAGCTAATTTAGTGGGAGACAGGCAGCAATAGAAGCGATACAACGAAGAGGGGAAATTGTCTAGGATCATATACAAAAAGCATGATATTTAGCTTTAAAAAAAAAAAAGGCGAAACGGAAGAATTATTAAGGCGACACGACGGTCAGGAATTGTGGTGGGTTGTAGAAAAAACAGGAGGACGTCAATTCTAGTTGCCGATGTGGTAAAGATGCGTGTCTATTATTTAAATTTATTTATTATTATTATTATTATTATTATTTTTTTTGTGTGTGTAACTTTGCCCTAGCACATGAGAGAGACCTCTGGAGCAGGTGAATTTGGCAACCAGGAAGAGGGGAGAGCCAAAGAGAAGGAAGGAAATAACCTAAAAATAGAGGGTTGCGTGGGGTTTTGCTGGAATACACCGCAAAGTCATTTGCCACCGCCCTATTTGAAGCTGTTTCTAGTATTTCTGTACGTGACCACACCACCACAATGGATGTGTCCTTCCCTCGGATTGCGGAGCGCATGACTGTCAATAAATGAAAGTGGGGACTGTGTGACACAAAAGACTGCTTGACACCATCATTCTTTTTTTTTTTGTTATTGTTGTTGTTGTCGTTTTATTTGGGTTGCTTCTCTCTTTTTGTGTGTAGATAAAACCCTAGCTCCCCCCGCTACATGTCTAGTGACGATGGGGTTATGAGGGTGGACGAGTACTTTCCCATCACGGAGCGTTCATTCAGCGTCATTATCCGCCAGTACGAGATTGAAGCGGCTGCTGCTCGTGCAGATGCCGTCACCAGAGAAGAAGAGTCCCCCGAGAATAGCAGGGAGTTAACGCTGATGGCACAGTACTTGGAGGATCTTGCCAATGATGCGAGGCGACTGCATCGCAAACTGCAGGCGAGTGGTGGCGGTCCGGTGGCGACAACAAATTGGTCCGCAGAAGATGTAAGCACCCTGCGTTTATTGGGGTTTGATGTGAGCCGCATCAATGTGGCTGCAGCGGAAGAGCAGCGTCCTCAAGTACCCAACCTGGACAAGTTGCTTGCCATGGAAAGGGAAATACAGAAGCTCCAGACAAGGGTAGATGATTTGACAGCAGCGAATGCAGAATTACGTGAAAAAGTAGCTGAGCAAAACTGCACGGGACTCCAGTTTCAAGTGGAAGAGAACGACATGTCCGATGAATTAGAAGCTCTTACAGAGGGTCTTAAATCTCTGAAGGCTGCCTACTTGAGTAAGCATGGGGATTGTTTTGCTGCACAGGATATGCAGAAAAGATCTACCTTGGCTTTTAATGACATTTATCTTGGAGGCCATAAATCACACAAGACGGCGGTGGAGTTTCAGCAGTACCCATCCAGCGGTCTTGCAGAAGCCTTTCGCATTTTACGCGGTGTGGTTGCCTGCCACCGTGTGCGTTACCACGTTACGGGGGATTCGTCTGGCAAGGTTGATGCGATTGATATGGCAGTTGTTCGGCTGCTCAATGATCTTGAATTTCCGTTTCCCGTGACAATCCGACGGCTGGGCGCCAGGGGAGACTATTTTATTGACCGCCGCGTTGAGATCAAACTTGTCGGGGAACAGTTAGTTGTAAGGCCATGGCCGGCTACAGGCGTCCATCAAGGGTTCTCTGCCGACAGGAAATGCCCACCACGCTATGAACACCTGGCAAAGTATCTTATTCACCTCTACTCTCCAGCCCTGGATTTGTACAGGGCCGCAAAAGGCGGAAGAAGAGACGGGGCAGGGGTAAATTCTACTGAGGGACGTCCGAACAACGACATCGCCGCTCTCAAACGCCAGCAACGGGAGCTTCAACGTGCCCTGGAGGATCGTCATGAGCAGTTGCATGAATATCAGAAGCAACTTGTGGCGGGTCTTTCACCACTAGCGAATGAGTGCACGTTGAGGGACGATGCAACAGGCCTTTCTGTTGAGCTGCGAGTTGAAGAACGAAATCGAAAAGTTGATGAGAGCATCTCCGACTCGGAATCTTATCCGTCTGCGGGGACGAGCGACCGGGTTGCTCATATACTTCGTTTAATGGAGACGAATGGACGGATTTCTGATCCTTCGCGTCTTTCCGAGTCAGGCCTGCAACATCTTAAATATGTGGCGTTGCAGCGGCAGACACATGCGTTGCAGTAGGCCACGGGTGTCATCTCCTCTTCTCTATTTTTCTTTTTTTTTTGCGGACTGTATCATCGTGAGAGTTTTGCGTGTGTGTTGTTTTTGTAGCTGCATCATCATTTGGGAATTGTTGAGGCTTTTCTCTCTCTTTCTTTATCACCTCCGATGGCAGTCTCTTTATATATATATATATATATTCTTGTATCAAGTTTTTTGTGCAGATTCATTTGTTGCATGAATGTACCTTTTTTTTTTTTTTCTCTTGTTGTTGGTTTATATACTCTTTATTTATTTATTATCTTTTATTCTTTACAACAGTCAAGGGATTAGATAGTTTATTTCATGTCTCTTCCAAACGCCATTGTGACATGGCAGTGCCCAAACCGGCCGTTTTCCGTGGTGGAGGTTCTTCAAAGTTGCCCGAATCTTCTTGATTACCTTTGCGAGACATCTTGCACAGAAGCGATGCGGCGACCGCCAAGTCCACACCGGAAGCTGTTTATTCTTTTTCCGGGCAATCCGGGCTTAGTGCATTTCTACGAACGTTTTGTGGAACTCATGACTTTACGACGTTTAGACGTTCTTGTGATGGGCTTTGCCGGTCACAGTTTTGTCGACCAAAATAACGGTAGGGTATTTGATTTACAGGATCAGGTAGAAACGGCGGAGCATTTTTTGCGAGCCGTTCTTACTCCATATACGCAGAAATGGTATGGAAAACACATTTACATTGGTGGCCACAGTATTGGAGCCTTTGTTGCAATGCAGATGTTAACGCGTTTTCCATGCATAAAACGTTGTTTTTCCCTTTGTGGTTTACTTTCAAATGCGCAGAATTCCCCGAATGGAAAACGTCTTTTTTTTCTCTTTAGTCATGCGGTGATATACGGTTTATTTACGTACTGTGTGATGTTGCTGTTACTTATGCCTAAGGCGGTGGTTTCAATGTTTTTGCGTTGGTACGCGCCTTCTGTAAGTCCGCCTCTTCGGAGACTAATGACGCGACACTTGAACCCAAATATTCTCTGGAATTGTTTTTTTATGGCCAGGCAGGAGTTACGTCAGGTACGTGAAATTGACAGACCACTTATGAAGGCCGTGGAGGATCGCATGGTGTTCTTCTACGTCACAAGCGACAGGTGGGCACCGCCGCAGCATGCGCAGGAGGTGAAGGTTGCCTGTGAGGGTCACGCCGGCTTTGTGATGGAGACGGATCCCAATGTTCCTCACTCGTGGTGTCTTGACCACAATGAACTTGTAGTTGAGCGAGGAGTGATGCCTTTTCTGTGAGGGCGAGTGACACATGTGTGCAGTGAGACGAGACTTGAGGATTTATTCCATTTATTTCGTTTTATTTATTCCTGGGGTGGGGAGCAGGAACCCACCACTTCCCTTTTCTTCCTGAGAGGAAGCAAAGGTCATAGTGTGGCGCCGTCGTTACATGTGCGTTATGTCTACGTGTGTGCATCCTACAATGAGAAGTAGAGGAAAAGAAAGAAAAGTGACGCGGATTACACGGCAGTCCGTTCATATATATATATATATATTAATTTATCGTTCAAAAAAGATGGATACAAATAAGAGAGGATACGTTGAACTCTAAGCGAGGAAGAGGAGGAAACGACAAGCAAAAGAAATTCTTTGAGTATTTTTTTTTAATTTATTCTGTCATTGACGCATATGGTTTTTTTTTCTTTTTTTGTTTGTAAATTATACAGATACATACATAATATATACATATATACAACATATATGTAGCATATACATGTATATGTGTGTGCGTGCATATCTTTTCTGTTTTGATCTTTTATTTTGTGTACTTTTACTGTTTCTGCAGTTGGCGGCCAGTTGGATTGCTTCTTCCTAATGAATCAAGATAACGCCAACTTTTTGCACGTAGTTGGGGAACCAACCTTTGAGGCACTTGCCCGCTACATTGAGCGGAACAACGTGACGAAGATTCTTGTCATGGCTGGAGCTGGCATAAGCGTCGCGGCGGGAATTCCTGATTTCCGCAGCCCTCACACGGGCATATACGCAAGGCTGGGGAAGTACAATCTAAACTCACCGACCGATGCTTTTTCAATTACGCTCTTGCGAGAGCGTCCAGATGTCTTTTACAGTATTGTGCGTGAGATGGACCTTTGGCCCGGTCATTTCTGGCCGACACTTGTGCATCATTTTATCAAACTATTAGCCGATGAGGGACGACTGTTGCGTTGTTGTACTCAGAACATCGATGGCTTGGAACGGGCTTCGGGTCTTCCAATGTCGTTTCTCGTGGAGGCACACGGGTCTTTTTCAACCGCCTCGTGCATTGAGTGTCGTTCCCCATACGACATTGAATTAGCGAGCCGCGAGTCCAGGGAGGGGAAGGTGCCGCATTGTGATAGGTGTGGGGGTGTTGTGAAACCGGACGTTGTATTTTTTGGGGAAAGCCTCCCAGATGCATTTTTTAATGTTTTTGCAGAAATAACGGAGGTGGAGCTGCTTCTTATCATGGGAACGTCACTTCAAGTCCATCCTTTTGCGGAGCTTGCGGTTAGGGTGCGGCCAGATGTACCGCGAGTGCTGTTTAATTTAGAGCGTGTCGGTGGTGCCATGTTTCGCTTCCCCACGGATGAGCCGACTCTGAATTCATTCAGCAGAAACCACACCGGCAACAGTCACAGTAGCAGCAACAGCAGTAGTAGTAGTAGCAGCAGCAGTAGCGACGGTTACAGTCAGTTCGCAAATCATGCTGCCGACGCAGGGGGGATTTGTCGCGATATATTTTTTCCAGGGGACTGCCAGCTCTCAGTGCGGCGGCTGGCGGAGGCGATGGGGCTTGGCGAGCGGTTGGCATTGGCCGTGCGTGAGGGTGAGAAGAAGCGAGAGAGTTATGGTGCCTGTGAGAGCGGCAACACGCATCACACACACATGTACACACTGACAGACCGAAAATAAGAGGAAAAGCGGCTGAAATAAAGATTTGAAAAGAATTAATCCTTCAACCATTTAATGATTTTACGAGTAACGATGCATAATGAAAAAGAAAGGGATAAAAAGGGTGAAGTTGAGTTGAATGGGCAGAGCTCAAGGTTTTGATTATTAATCATATTGTTAATACTGACCTTTTTTTTCCCCCTGTTGCTACTGTTGTCATGAATGATGTGAATTTTATTTCATTTCTTTTTTTTTTTTTTCTTGTAATAATATTTTCTTCCTATAAAGGAAAAAAAAATTGATTGCTGCTTGGCTCGGGTTTGCTTCGATATCTCGTATGCTCTTGGGGGCCTCACAACGAGATCTGGCGCAGGAATATACCGTGTGAAACAAGATAACTTGCAACCACAGCCAAGGGAGGCAAATAAGGAAACAAAAAAGAAAAAAAGAAAGGGGGCACCGGTGGAAAGTGAGAGGAGAGGCAAGATAAATATGAAGAGCATCAGGGTGCCCATGCGTTCGAGGCAGAGTTCACATCGGAAAAATATAATACGTTTTGTGTTTTTTTTTACGGCGTTGTTTGTTTACTTTTGGACATCCCGGAACGATCGGAGCGGCAGTGCGTTGCCTTATGACAGGGAGACTGATGTGGAGACCATCGGCGTTGTGGGGGACACTTTGTTTCCCAAGAGTGCCGTGTACGAGGAGGACAGTGCGTATTGGGGCTTTACAGGCGGCATCGATAGTCTTCTCGAGGGCGTCGTTTTGCAGAAACACTGGGGGCCTGTTATGAGGCTAAGTCACGAGGGGTCACTGGACGAGTGGAAAGTCACGAATATAAGCTGTGCACGACTCACATCTTTAGGAGTCAAACCACATGATATGAAAAATCGCTACATGAGACACCGGGCAGTGAAGGATTTCACAGGGTGTGATATGCTCTCAGTGCCTTTTAACCCCCGTCAAGACCAACGCTGCATTAATTTCCTCACAAACGCTTCCAACTGGAAGGAATTGGTGCCAATTGCACAGACCAAGGATCAGCGAACCATCAAGTTTAGTATTGTTTTTAATCCCATTTGGGTTGCAGATGGGGGTTTTATCGAACAACCATTGGAAACAATCATTAAAGTACCACAACGACCTTTTCCTTTGGAAGCAGTGGGAGAGGTGGCGACATTTCATGCAGATCGCCTTTTGCTGACGTATCGTGTGCCGCCCACTGGCTGGGCATGTTTGCCAATTTCAATGATAGAGGACTCCGTGGCAAAATATAAAGATGTTGTGGAGACCAATGAGGAATTCTTTCGGATGTCAGGAGTAAATAACTATAACGAGTGGGTGAAGAAGGATCTATTTGATTATGTCCGTGAGAAACGTTATCTGGAACGTTCTGTAAATGGTGATGAATGTATTGGTGTATCTATTCAACTTAAAATTGCTGACGTGGGACATTTTTTGAGTAGCGTGATGCGCATTCCCTATGAGCCTCATAATGACTCGTGGCATGCCTTCTTTGACCTAAACAACATTGCTGGAGAACGCGTGATTGATTTTATTCGGAAGCGGAACTACGCTGGCGTTCTTCACTTGGCTACTCTAAGTATGTTTGACTACTTTGTCGGGAACATGGACCGTTCCCCAAACAAGAATAACTTTGTGGTGGGCGGGACACATATCGGTTCAAATGAAAATGATATTTTTATGCTTCACCCGAATCATCCTACTTTTGTGTACCTTGACCATGGCATGACATTTTACTACCGGCGCCCACGTAGAAATCCGCTTACTAAATCCTATGGGGCTTTCAAGAGGAATAAACCGGGCACGTTTTGTCTCTTTCATGGCCCATTGCTGCGACGGATTCGCGAATTGGTACAGTTTACTGGCGGCCCAATGAATGAAACGGTCTTTGCGTGGAGGATGCAACGACGTCTGCCAAGTCACGTCTACAGCACCATTGGACCTGAAGGTCTACTTCGGTCTTCAACACGCGGTAAAGAAATATTGGCCATGGCCGATCGTTGCTTGGAGAATGAGCATATACGACCCTACGTACTTTTTCCGTGACGGGACACACTACAACAGCAAACGTTTATTTGGATATGAAAGACGTATTTTTAAAATTTTTTTTGCGTGAGGAGTTGCCTTTTTTTTTTTTTCTTGCCGTGCTGTCACTGGAGAAGTACCGACTATTATTTATTTATTTTGCTTTTGGTATTTTGTGGTGGTGATTGTTCGGATTTGTCGTTTGTTTTCCTGCTGGATTTTTTCTCTTTTTTTTTTTTTTTTTTTTTTTGACGGGTGGTGAGTCTTCTTTAGATGCGTCTTCTACGAAAAGGGGTTCGCCTCGATGGTGGGGTGGAAGTGAAAGTAACGGTCGGCACAAGTGAGGACTTGTGGCACCTGTACAACTTTGTGCTTTGCGGTGATCGTGTCCGCGCAAGAACGCGACGTAAAGTGGCGAAGGAGACGTCAATAGGCACAAAGGCGGCAGAGGTGCGCTTTATTACGCTGGAAGTCGAGGTGCAGCAGGTGGAGTTCTCCCCTGAGGAGCTCCGTATACATGGCATTAACATTTCAGAGAATGAGCATGTGAAGCTGGGCGCACACCACACGTTGTCGGTTATTACGTTTCCACCACAAGACATCACTATCATCAAGAAGGAATGGGATGATATTGCGGAAGAACGCCTGAAGGAGGCTTGTGATAATGAGGCCAAGGCAGATACCGCTGCCGTGATTATGGATAATGGAACGGCGAATTTGCTGCTGGTTACACCCTCGTTTATGCACCCCAAGGCGAGGGTGGAGGTGAACATAGCAAAAAAACACAAAAATGATGGTACGGCGAGAGACAAGAGCATTCAGCGTTTTTTTAAGCAAGTGTTAGACGCAGTTTGCACGCATGTCGACTTTGAAAAGGTAAAAATACTTCTTATATGTTCACCTGGTCATATTCGGGAGGAGTTTTTTAAGTACATGGAGTCTACGACCGTAAATGCGGAGGCGGGACCCCTACGAGTCATGTATAAGAATTTGTCCAAGGTGGTGCTTCTCAAGATTACAGATTGTACAAATGATGCGCTTCGAAAGGCCTTTGCTGACCCCGCCATCGCCAATGAAATGAGCTCTACACGTGCCAGAGAAGACATCAACGTTTGGCAAAGCTTTCACAGCACAATAAGCAGCGATCCGGATCGTTGTGTATACACTCCACAAATTGTTTACCAGGCGGCAATGTTGGGAGCTATAGGAAGACTGATGGTAAGTGACAACGTATTTCGTTCCAGCAGTCCCGTTGAACGACGGTTTTATTTATCACTTGTTCAATTTGTCAAGAAAGGTGGAGGGAAAGTTAGTGTCTTTTCCAGTAATCACATTACAGGAGAGCAACTGATACAGCTGGGTTCTGTGGCTGCCATTCTTCTTTTTCCATGCCCAGAGTTGGACGACGTAGCAGTGGTAAAGGATTTTATTTATGGTGAAGAGGCCACCGCATTCATTCGAGAAAATGCTCCTACACGTGTGACCTTTTGAACAGGTTTATGGTTTGGTGGGAGTGCACACAAGATATGGTTAGATGCTTATTGTTGTGCCTTTTTGTTGTTGTTCCTGTTTCTAACTTCTTATTTTTATTTTTAATTATATTGTTGCATTCTTGCCCAATTTTTTCTTTTTTTTCTTTTTCTTTTTTTTCCTTTGTGTGTGTGCGTTTTACTTTTCACTTTTTTCCCCCAATTGTAGAGTGACGGATGCTCCGGCCGTCGTTAGTTTGCCTCCTGGGAGCAATTTCAGCGGCTCGACTGTTTGTGCAGCGGCGGGCGTTATCTTCTTCATTTCGTGTGATGCGTGGCCTTGGCAATCCCAATGGATGCCATCAGGTGGAACGCGTTGTTGGGGGCGCCAATTGTTCCACGTGGACGTCCAAGCGCTTTCTTTTAGTTGAGACGAGTGAGACGCCGAATCCCGATTGTCTGCGTTTCTACTCGATGGAGTTGTCATTTCTGAAACCCGGTTTCTCAATGGACTTTCCGAATGCTGGGCACGCTTACAAGTCACCCCTGGCGGAGATATTGTTTAGCATCGATGGGGTAGAAGCTGTGTACATTGCTGATGAGTACATCACGGTAAGAAAAGGTCATCTTGTGGATTGGGATTCCATTCTGCCGATGATAAAAGAGAGTATAGCCGAGTTTGCGGAGAGCAAGGTGAACATTCTTTCCGAAGAAGGAGAAGAGCTTCTTTCAGGACACAATGAAGACACCGAACCCAAAGATGACGATGACGAGGTGATTCTAGCTGTCAAGGAATTGCTTGCCACACGCATACGGCCCATGCTGCAGGCTGACGGCGGGAACGTGCGCTATTTGGACATGGACGACGGCACGGTATTTGTGTTGCTGGAAGGTGCGTGTAAATCGTGCCCGTCCGCTAGCGTGACGCTTAAAAATGGCATTGAGCGCATGCTTATGCACTGGATACCGGAGGTGGTGGAGGTCCAGGAGTGCACGGAGGAGATGGCGGATGATATTTTGGCAGAGAAGGCTCTACGGAAAAAGATGAAAGACGATGGCGTCACAATTTCTGCCAAGTGAAGTGCAATTGATGGAGATGACCGGTGAATGTGGGAAGAGAGTGCGTTAAGATTTGTGACCAAAAAAGAAAAGAGAGGGAGTGGGGGAGAGGGAGAGGAGGTCCAGCTTTTAGATGGTGCATCGCGATTTCTGCTGGGGATACACCGTGCTTCCTGTTCACGAGAGGAGGAAGAGGAATGATGAGAAGAGAAAAAGCATCAGGTGCCAATGGTTGCAGGTTGGCGATCCATTTTTGCTCATATTATTTTTTTTTTTTTACAACCTTTTTTTTTTCTTTTTTGCACGCCGTTCCTTTACTATTTTTATCGTTGTTCCTATTTTTTTTTTTTTTTTCTTTTCTTTCCTTCTCAGTGTGAAGATATTCTTCTCCTTATGAGGCCGATAAAAGATGCCTTCTTCCACCGTCTTGTGGTACCATGCCGCGATCTGAACTTCAGTTGTTTGATGGTCGCTCTCTCCGCGGGAGTTATTGGAGGCGTCTTTCCTGTTCCACTGCTGACGAGCATTGCGACTCTAATCATCTGCCGTGTGTTGCGATGCCGCGCATTGGAGGCGACATTGGCGACTACTGTCAATCTCCTTCTTGCTCCCCTTGAACTGTTCCTTGTGGTGCCGTTTGCTTGTATGGCGGCTTTTGTTTTGGGAGGTGACACAAGACAATTCACCACGGCTGCAATCTACCACTCTGCGAAGCTGGGATTTTTTGATTTTTTGCAAATGTCTGCCTCGCTTCTCATGTACAGTTGCCTTTGTTGGATGGCGCTTGCCATCCCCCTCCTGTACTTCATCCGCGGTCTACAAAATCGTGGGAATGTTGCCAATTGCGAGTAATGATTGTGCCAGGATCTATATATATATTTTTTGTCTTTGAAAAAACAACAACAACAACAAGAGAATACCAGAATTTGTCCTATTTATTTGTCTTTGTAATGCTTTTTTTTTCTTTCTTGTTTGTTTTATTCTGTCCCCGCTTTCCTTCTGGTGTTTTCCGTACTTGCATACACCAGCACAGCGACGCCGATACGTAAAGAAGGTAGATAATATGCCCGCGAAGAGTGTTCCTGCCCCGGAGTCGGCCATCAAGCGCGCTGCTTTCAAGCGGCAGCAGACGGAGAACTTCAAGAAGGCTATTGCCGCCAACAAGGCTGCGAGAGTCGCGCTGAAGAAGGCTGCATACGCGCGTGGTCTCCGTTACTCCCGTGAGTACCGTTCTGCCGAAAAGAAGTTGGTGCACCTTCGTCGCCAGGCGAAGAGCTGCGGCAACTACTACCTCGAGGCGAAGCCGAAGGTTGCTGTTGTCACCCGCATTCGCGGTATTGCGAAGGTCGCCCCGAAGCAGCGCAAGATTCTGCAGCTTCTGCGCCTGCGCCAGATCTTCAACACCGTTTTTGTGCGCCTGAACAAGCCGATGGAAAACATGCTCCGCGCCGTTGAGCCCTACATTGCCTACGGCTACCCTTCCCTGCGCACAGTCCGAATGATGGTGTACAAGCGTGGCCACCTGAAGATTAACGGCCAGCGTGTGAAGATTGTGAACAATCAGATGATCGAGAGCAAGTACAACAACGAGAACATTGTTTGCGCTGAGGACATTGTGAACCAGATCTACACCGGTGGCAAGCACTTCCGCGAGGTGACGAACGGCCTGTGGCCCTTTAAACTCTCGCCGCCGGCTGGTGGCATGCGCCAAAAACGTCGTCACTTTGTTGAGGGCGGCGACTACGGCAACCGTGACGCCCTCATCAACCGTTTCCTCGCCCGCATGATTTAAATTGGGCATGTCTGCCTTTTTTTAGAGGTTTATTTATTTATCTTCATAATTTTTTTATTTTTATTTTACAACCGATGTTGCTTTTCCAGTGATTGCAGCAGCTGCTTGCCGAATTGATGTTGATTGTAAGTGTTGTTTTCTTTTTTAGCGTTATTTATTTATTTGGATGTCTTTTTTTTTGTCTTTTTTTCTTTTTGTTGTCGTTTTTTCAGCCTGAAGTTTTAAGAAACGTTTTTTTTTTTTTTTTTTGAGGGAGGCGGCATGGCGAAGGACCCGGACGACGACAAATCCCTGGAGGACGACATCCGTTTACTTGTGAGGAGGGCTGAGAGGCCGGAAGGAAAAATTATCCGTTTCCCCCGTTTCTTCAGCAGACGAGTACAAAATGACTGTGGCAGATGAGAGGATACGTCGATTGACTGAGATGACGCACGCGCCGTTGGGTCACAAATTGAGTGTCGGCACCAATATATATATAATATATATATATATTTACCGCTGCGAACAGGGGGGAATGGTTCAATCACACTCGTCATTGACTTGCAAGAAACACTGGTGCGCTCCTTCACGGCTAAGCCATGCGATTTGTTTTATGCCTTTCTGAGCATTGGCGAGTCCAGTTGAAGCCCAGACCTTTTTCCTTTTTTTTTTTGACAAGTCCATTTTTACCGTGGTTTACCAGGCGTATTCTAAACATCTCATGGACGATTGATCCTGGAGGCAAGTTAGGATGCCCTTGGCTTTTCCGAGAGCACTACATAGAGTTCGCGGGGTTTTATTATTATTATTATTATTTTTGATTTGAACCACCAACAGTCAATTTAGTATTTTTCTTTTCTTGTGGTTTTCCTTTTTGTGTGTATTTCAATGCGTGCAAGGCTTATTTTATTATTTTTGGTACGTTTCCAAAGGCAGTCTCCCGCTTCTCACCCGAGCGGTGCGCTCAGGTGGAGCTGGGAAGGCATTTGGAGTGTTGCATCTTCCTCTCTTTACATTTTATATTTGTGTGGGGTTTGTTGTGCGCCACTTTCTTTCTGTCTCCTCGTTCTCGCTACCAATATTGGCGGCAGAGTAAGTTTTTATGCCACATGGAAGTGAAGGAGGTCCAGCCGCAGAAACGCCTCCAGCCCGCGTGCGACGCTAAGGGTGAGAATGGGTTTCCACTGACAATTCCTTGTGAGCGACAGAAAGTAGCAAATTTGGCACCGCATAGACCCTTACGCCGTTTTTTGGAGGCAATGCGAGCCGACAATCAAAATCTATGCGCACTCAAAGGCTCCGCAGTTCATCATTTGAAAAAAGATTTGAGAGGGGACGAGAAACAGGTGGTCTTATCTTGCGAGACACCTTCACGCAGCAATCGACTAAGAGAAAAGTATGAGTGTATGAAGAAAATGCGTTTTAATGAAACTCAGGAAGCCCTTGCTCGTGAGTGTGATCTCTCAAGAATTATCATTGAGCTTCAAAAGCGCATAGAGGACGCGGAGGCATCACGGGAATTTGAACGGGAAGTCCACGCGCGGGAGTCATTTTATCTCCTAAAAGAAAATGAATGTCTCAAGGAGCAGGTACGGACGACGGAAAAAATGCTTTTGGATGTCCGCAACAATTATAATTTGGAGATTTCCAAGTTAAATACGAGAGTGTCTGACCTGGAGGACTCTCTGGTTGCCGAAGGACAACGCGCCAAGACGAGGGAGGCTGAACAGGAGCGGGCCATTCAAAACCTATGCAGTAACCTCTATACCACGCAGGGGGAGCTGGAACGTTATGTGGAGAAAAACCGTGAGTTGGCTTCCGTAAATTCGTTGCTGGAGGAAATGAGAGCGGAATCTTGGAGGGACAAGCGAGAATGCACTGTATGGTACGAGGTCCTTCGACGACGTGAGGTGTTTATGTTGCTTGAGCGAGAAGCATTTACGGAGCTGCAATGCCTATGCATGCAAGAGATGAATCGCTTTTGGCAAATAAAGGACGATTCGTATCAAGCAATGTTTTGTAGCGAGGCGGAGCGGTTTTTGGGTCACATAATAAGAGAGGCTGAAATTTGTTATGAGATGAAGCAACTGATGTTTGACAACGCCACTGCTTCAATAGAGAAAGAGACGTGGATTTCACTTCACTTTTCAAAGGTGCAGGAGCTATCTCGGCTAAGCGAGAAACACGAAGCACTTTCTATCTTACTGGCTCAGTACATGCGTGAGGTGGAGGAAATTCAGCAAGGCAATCTTGAGCAGGTGCTGCGTCGGAAGACGGTGGATGATGCGTCAATCGCCTACATGCTTCATCAACGTGACAATGAAGTCTCGGATAAGTTGCGTACATGGAAGGGGGCACTTCAAGAGGCGCATAAACTTTTGACTGCGTTACTGAAGCGATATGAGCCTTTTCAGCGTGGTGATGAAGTTTTTGTTGGGAGGGTGATGGAATGGTTGATCTCCGCACCACATGTAAAAGAGGTGATCAATGTTTTTTTGCCATAGCTTATTACGGTTCATTTTATATATGCAGGCACGTACTTACTTGCCGGGTTCCTTTTTTTCATTGCGATGAGGGGTGAGAAAGGAGTGTGTGTCTTTAATGTCAGCTAGCTTTTTTTTTTTTTTTTTTTGAAGTTGATTTACTTTGAATAACATGCAATTATTTTAAATATGTTGCTAATTGTGTCTTTGCAGTCTTCATGACGAACATGCAGATTTTATGGGATATCTTTTTTTTTTTTTTTTAATATATTTTTAGATATCGACCTCTGGTTGTGTGCGCATTTTAGAGCCAATAAAGGAGTGATGGAGTTTTTATGCTGTCAGGCGGAAATTGGCAAATTGATTCGGGAGAAAACGGAAGAATTAAATGATATCGGGGCGGCATTGTCGTTTGTTCATCACCACGTTCTCAGTATGGTGCATAAGTCCGAGCCTGGACTATCAATGCCTGATGTGTTCCCTTCATGTGCTCTACAAAGTACCTCTGGCAAATTGTGTCGTTGCCGGGGCATGATTCAGGAGGTGGAGCCAAACATCTCTTTTTATCGTGCGTCGCGTTCAGACTTTTTTGGTGCTGCTGAAGAAGAAAATATGGCGTTGCTAGAAGCCACCCTTCTGTACGTGATTCCCGTGCCTGGTAATTCCCACTTCTACCGTGTGCCACAAGAGACGATGAGTGAGGAACGGGCTGCCATGAATAACGTGCCAGCTGTTGGACAGGTTTTTGGTGATCGCAAACGTCGGGAGCGGTCTGATGGTCCGTTGCAAAGTTCTGCTCTGGAACGTGAAATGAAACAGTTTCGTCAGGAGGTGGTCTTTCAATCAGATGGGGCCTCTCAACCGATGCGGCAGTTGTCACTCTATCAGAAACTTAATCTTCCACACCCACCCCTTAGTGGATTCCTTCATACAGCGTGTGTTGTGACTGTTATTCAACACCCCGCCGTAGAGAGGGACCGGCTACGAATCAACGATGTGGTGGATTTTTTTGGGTTCCTTGACGAGGATTCAGCAATGACGGGCGATCGGATGGCGGCGTTCCCATTGGACGAGTTTGGGACTTTTGCCTCTTGGCATGCAGAGCAAATTCCACCATCATTATTGTCACGAATGACTTGCATCTCATGGAAGGAAGTTTTTTCCACTCCAATTCGCCCAGTACTAAAAAACTACTTTGAAACCAAGCGTCCACTTGTTTTGCTTTATCTGGCGAACACAATTTGTCAAGGAGATGCATTACTTGCTGAATACATCCTTTTGCACCTCAGCGCCCGTGTTATTACCCACGAGAGCGCCACACCTGTTGGTGATATTCCTCTGCGTGTAGAAGCGCAGGCCATTGATCCCGAGATGTGGTCATCCTTTATGCGAAGTATTTCACCAGTAGGTGAAGTGCTGCTTGACGCATCGTTGTTGTCAAGTGTAGATCTCCGCATTGTGCCCCGACAAGATCACATGGCGAATGTGCTTCGCACCGGTGTTCTACAGTTAGCCAATGGGACGCACGTCACCTTAGATTGTCAAGCCGTTTCCAAGGCAAGCAATGCGTTGCATGAGGCTCTTTTTGCCGTGATGCATAAACAGGTTCTCCCACTTGAATATCCCTATCAGCTACATGAGCTGCCCATCGACCTTAGCTTTCTTGCTCTTTCCACCGCGAGGATTTCAGAGGAAATGGAACTCCTTCGACTTGCTGTATCAGTGCGATGGCAGCCGGAGCTTCCGATGGCTGCAATGGACCTCACGAATCTTTCTGCTGAGGATGTGCAGGATTATTTTTCGCATGTGCGATGTGTCTGTCGAAGGTTTGTCAGTGAGGACAACTCCCAAGCGCATCGATTGGCTGAAAAGTTGGTTTGCTTTTCGCAGTCAGAACCCTCATGGAATAATCACGATCCCTTTATTCATAACAACTCCTTTTCTATGGCCGCCGCACTGATGCGGGCTTGCGCAGCGAGTTTCGGTCGCGAAACGATTTCCGATGGCGATATCGATCACATTCTTTTTCTTGAAAGGGACCGGGTGGCACGTCGCTGTTAAGAGGAACCAAGTAAAAAATACCAAAAAAAGAGCGTTTTTTTTTCTTTTTTTTATGGGGAGGACACGGCTGTGCCTTTCATTGTTTTTCAATTTCTCTCTCTCCTGCGGCACGTGCTCGTTTTTTTTTTTTTTTGATTTTTTTTTTTTTCTTTAGAAGAAGCAAGTTGCATTGAATCAATTTTATTTTCGTCTGATTATGTCACTTGAGGAGGTTGAGCCTAATTTTTTTATCCTTTCGCCGGATTCACCCTTGCGAGAGACGATACAAAGGGCGTACCGTTGGTACTCCCCCAGGTTTTCACCATGCGATGTTCCACGTTTTGCCGATGTGGGGAGCATTACAGAAGAGTGGAGTGTAATGCGTGGAATACGCGATTTTCTTGTGGCTCGTTACAGGAACCTTCCCGAACCCCCGACTCACATAATGGGTTTTGATGCACGTGGGTTTCTTCTTGGACCCATGATATCCGTGGAACTTGGAGTACCGTTTGTGCTCATGCGGAAGGCGGGGAAGAATCCCGGCATCCTCATTGAAAGTGAACCATATCAGAAGGAATACAAGGAGAAAAGGGCTGAGGCCATGACCATACGTTGCGGTAGCATTGGTAAAGGTTCACGTGTTGTCCTTGTAGATGATGTTTTGGCTACTGGAGGAACGGCTTTGTCAGGTTTGCAGCTTGTTGAAGCGAGCGGTGCCACAACTATTGAATTTGTTGCTATTCTTGGAATAAAATCCCTGAAGGGAGCCCAGCTTTCACACTCATATGGCAATGGTCGCTTCAGCAAGATTCCGTTCTTTGCACTTGTGGACGAAAGTGTACTAACGGAGGCGAATTGTGGCGATACGGCCGGATACAATGGTCCTCGGATCATTGGCTATCGCGAGGCATTGAGCAGGATTTAGCTGGCTTGCGCGCAAAAGCTAGGACGAGTAACTCTTCTTTTTTGACTTTTTTGTTAGCGCAACGAAAGAAGGCTAAAAGAAGTATAGTGGATACTAAAAACAAACAAGCAAATACAACAACAACAACAACAACAGCAAAAAAAAAAAGTAAAAAAAATGTGTTGATAATTAATGGCGTATTGGAGCAAAAAAATTTTCTTTTTCCAATGTATTTGCGTGCGCCTCCAGTGTGTGTCTTTTTTTCCCTCTTATTCACAGGAGGTTTGGCGTGAGGAGACGAGAGCTGATGGGGGAGCGATAAGAACACACAGAAATCAAGGCAAGATAATAATAATAATAATAATGATTTTTTAAAATTATTATATGCACCTTATGGGATTTGGAGAAACAATTTGGCGACAATTTTTGAGTTGATCATTAAAGGGAGGATCAACGTCTCTTGCAAAATTTCCTTTTTTTCCGTTGATCCCCACAGTGTGCTCTGGTTTATTTCCTTTCTCCGCATACATGTGTGTGCACAAATGTATTCATACATGTCTGAGGGAATAACGAGGGGTGAACGTGCTTTTTTCAATATTGTATTTTAATCTGTAATCTTTTTCACCTTTATTTTAAAAGTAGTTTCTGTTTTATAGGAGCTTGTGAAGAGAATGATCGCGGGAGGGCTGACTAACTTAATTAATGCATGTGTATATCCTGATAAATGAATGCATTCTTTATGATACCTTCTACCGTATGAATCTTTTGGGAAGAACGCGACTTTGTAGGGGCAGGGAGCCGATAGAGGCCAGATAATATTTTATTTTTATTTTGCCATCCCACCCACCCCCTTTTGATTCCCACCACGCGGCGGGGTCTTGTGGTTGGAGGACCCCAAAGTCTGCCACTTCGTAAGTAATAATATTTCAAATCCTAACTGAGGACAAAGGACCATGCTGGTGGTCCACAGAATTCTATATAGTGAATGAGAATAAAACATTGAAGCAATTAACTAAAGAACCTTTTTTCCTAACTTGTTTGGTTTCCATAGATATAACTTCAGGATCCGGCCAGCTGCCCGGAAGATTATTCTTTTTTTTTCCTTTTTTTGTATTTATTTATTTTCTAGCTGAGATGGCGATCGCTGAATGCTCGCCCAATCATCTTGTACTTAAAGAGTCGCATCCGTTGTCAAAGGACCTCTACGCGAATGTATTTGGCGAAACGTCGTCGTTTCCCGGCGACAATGCGACTCGGTTATTTGATGTCAGCAGCATTACTGAGAATCCGCTCCTGTTTAGGAAGGTGATTCATTTCTTGGCTCAACGGTACCGCGATATGGGCGATGCCGGCCCGACGCATGTCCTCTGCGTGGAGTCTCGTGGGTATGTTCTTGGTTCGCCACTGGCTTTAGAGCTTGGCGTTCCTCTTGTTCTTGCCAGCGCTACGAAAAGATTTCCGTCTACTTTTCTTTCGGAGGGTCAGGGCCCTATGGTACTGCCCAAATCCTACTCTGTTCGTAACGGAAGCATTTCGAGTGACTCCCGCGTGCTCATTGTGGATGACTTCATTGCCACCGGACGTTCCCTTGTCTCCATTCTACGCCTCATGGCGATTGTTGATGCCAAGGTGATTGAGGCGGTGGCTGTGTGTAATGTGCCGTCCCTTGACGGGATTGGGGCCATCCACAAGTCCGACGGCTGCCGCTTCGGGCAGACCCCCATATTCACGCTGATGCAACTCAAGGCAAGTCAGGAGACGGTAAAGGAACAAATCGCCTATATTACCCTTGTAGGAATGTCTCATATGTGAGCAACGAGCGAGTGGAAAGAAGCCGCGATTGGAGCAATGCAACGCGGTTATCTTTTTCTGCTCTTCTTTTGATTCCTTGCGGAGCCTACCCAGGCCAGCAAAGTGAGAAGGGAGAAGAAAAGTAGTAATAATAATAACAAGGCAAGAACCCAAAAAAGAAAAGGAAAAAAAGCAATGAAAAGTGGTCGAAAGTAGCAGCGAGAGTAATTAAAAATGAAATAAAGGCGAAAATGTTGTTTTATTTTTTATTTTATTTTATTTTTGTCCATACGTGCGTGCGTTTCTTTTTTTTTTTTTTTTTTGCTGATGGTTTACTTGTTTAGGTGCACCCCACTTCATTTATTTTATTATTACTGTTTTATTTCTTCTTTTCAGGGTTGTTTTGTGCGTGAAGCCGTGGGGCATGGGTTTCCAGAGGACAAAAATTAAAACGTTTCTCCTGTGTTTTTAATATAATTTTTTTTTTTTTTTTTTTTAGTGAACCCTTTTTCTCTCTACTCTATATGTGTGTATATTTTGTGGTTCCTTATTATCCTTAGTATTATCATTTTGCTTCTGTTTTGGTGTTCGTCATGTCATGACAATTTTCTTTTCATTGCCTTTTTGTTGTTGTTGTTGTTCGTGCGTGGCTTTTAGCCGAGAGTTGGCCTTTGAGCCCATCATTTATATTTCTGATGTCGCATTTTTTGGGGAAGGGCAATGCCGCGACGTTTTTTGCGATGGTCTTGACATCAGGCCAGGCGCTGTTTTTCTTGTACCACAAGGATAGTTATGCGGACAATCCGGTCATGTTGCGCAGCAGCAAACCGATGGTGATGCGTGACGTGTTTTTAACAAAATGCTCGAGTTTTTTCCCCAATCCGCTCTCATGCGTTTATGTTCATAAAGCCTCCGATGCTTTTTTGAATAGTTTGACGTCATGGCTTCTGGTAAGACCAATTGTGGATGTTATTGGGTGGAAATCGGGCGTTGCACTTTACGCTGGATCAGGACTATTTAGCAGCTTTGCCTATCTGTTTGGATGTCAGCTGCGTAGGACCAAGACGAACACACAGTTTGATTGCAATGCCACTTCTAATGGTGCATTTGCCGGATTTGCGGCCCTCAGTCTGATGATGCCAAAGTGTTACATACCTGCGAGCAGGCGTGCTCCTGTTTACTACGTTGGAATCCCATACATTGTGAAGTGTGCATATGATGAGTATATTGGGCCTATATTTTTTGAGAAAAGGGAACCAGGCAACATAGAACTGCGTAACTGGGGGTTTGTGGGTGGCGTGTTTTTTGCATTTATCTTTTCATCCCTGGTATTACGAACTCGCAGTGATTTTGGGAGAATGAATTTGTTTTGGACAAATCTGAAAAAAACTTCCTTGTAGGTTGTATTGACTTTGTAACCTTTTGACTGTTGATGGCGTAGGATGCATAGGCGGTATTTTTTTAGATGATATGCATGATTTAAAGATATCTTTTTTTTTGGGGTGTATATATATATATATATATATATATATTGTTTTTTCTTTCCTTTTTTCTTTTCTCCATGTGTATGTAACTAAATGGACATAAATATATTCATACATGTCTTACTGGAGAATTTTTTTTTTCCCTTTCAACAACTTTTTTTGTTGATTTTTTGTTTTATGGTCAAGTTGTTTAGTCTTTTTTTTAAATTTGGATTGCCGCTCAGTCTTATGTACTCTAATAATCCTTCGAACAACGAAATTTCCGTCATTCTTTTTATAAACAACGAACGTTGTGAGGGGATTTCCTTTTCCGTTGAGAGGGATGCTCCTGTGGACATACCCGTAGAGGGCGGTACCAACACGTCGGCTATTCGAAAGGCTGCACGGCGGTACAATGGGCTGTATGAGTTGTTTTTTTCTATGGAACTTGAAGAGAATAAACTGAGTGCTTTTGCAAGGGGACGCATTGTTGGGCATGCCCTTCTACCATCTGGCGCGATACATTACCTTGGACCGCTAATGCCCCCCGGTGAACCTGTAGATTCGGCCATGTTTGTTGAAGACATACCCGACACCATACAGCTGCGTTTTACCCTTGATATGAAGGTTCCTGTGGGTGTCTCGGCAGTTTGGCCGGCGGAACTGCTCCTTGCCGACCACGTAATGGCTATTATTGACAATGATGACTTATCCGGCTCAGTTCCATCCTCACATGTGCAGAATCTTGTGCGTGAGCTACCGTTTTACAACCGCGGCATGAGACGCTTCAACAATTGGTCTAATTTTGTTCGTTTTTTTGCGATGTACTACCATTCATGGGAGCTGATCCAGTATTCGGAAGAGATGCATGAGCATCTTGGCTTCAGCAAACTAATGCTTGCGGGAGAAATGCGTATGGTGTCTAAAAAATTTCTGAATTCTTACATGCGGGCAGACAAAGAAAGGGACATAATTCGTTACGAAGCATTCTTGGAGTTCCAGCATTTGCTGCTTTCGTTCACAGGGCCGTTTGATGGCACTAGGCGCAGCCCAAGACTGAGCAATGACGCTTTTCGGTTGCTTGGGGAGTCACGGAGTTTTCGAACTTTGAACACCGTCAACTACGTCCGTATCCTTCGGCTCGTTGCACTGGACCCTGAGCGCTATGTTCTTTTTGACGCCCATCATCCCATTCGAATCGATTGGAAACACTCCGAAGAGACCACTCCGGGGCTGGTGGAGATGTGCCCGGTATGAGGTAGGAAGTGAGACCACGATGTCATTCTTATAAACCTTTACCGTTTTTTTTTTTTTTTTCATTTTCAGCTTTTTTTTTTTACTGTTTTTTTTTTTTTTTTTTTTTTTTGACTGCTCGTATTGACGTAAAAGCACGTATTTACATATATGTGTTTACTTATCTGTATGATGCTCAAGTAGGGCAACGGAGGGTATGGGAATACAAGTATCTGCACAGAGCCGTTTTTTGTTTTCTGTTTTACTGCGCATACACATAAATATATCATATATTTAAATATATGTATGATATTATTGCAGGTATGTTTACTCTGTGAAGATTTCTTTGCTTGGAGCGTCAAGCCTCTCTGTTTTTGCTGTGGAAGCGAAAAAACAAACAAACAAACAAACAATCAAAAGAAAAGGAAAAAAGAAAAAGACCCAAAACAACAACAAAACGGGCATGTTGTTTTGAATGGTGACATGTGTCTCTCTTAATTAATGGTTTTGTTAGGGCCCCTCTCTTTTTCTTTTTTCATCATCATATATTTGTTTGGTTTTGAGTTCAGTTGTCCTTGCGACTATTCTGTAGAAAGGATTACCGTGATACAATGCCTGGTAGGCATGGCAAACAGCGCGTGAAGCGGAAGAAATCTAAGCGTCAAAAGCCATCTGAGATGGAACGTGTACTTGTAGATAGCATTCATGGACGTAAGAGAAGAGAGCGCGATATTTTGAAAAAACATCTTCCACCACCTGTAAAGCTGCGGAGCACGAAGGTGGCGCTGAACACTACACTTCCCATGTTTAATCCTTTGCCTCCCACAACTGTTGGCGCGGCAGCGGAGTCAAGGGCAAAGAATAATAAGGGGAAGAAGCCACCGAAATCCCGCAAAGCCTAAAAACGGCGGATTATTTATTATAAATCTACGTACTTTTGTACCATTGGACTGTGCTTTTGCAACGGTGGTCGGAAAGCGTTTATCCTTTTCTTATTTAATAACGCTACCAATAGCAATTACGTATTAATCACAAAAATAGAAGGATATCGGTGTGCGCAATAGTCTTTCTCTCTCTCTCTCTCTCTTTTTTTTTTTTTGTGTGTGTGTGGCGAAGTGGCTCCGTTATTTTGATTGTTAACATTGATTTATTTTTTCGGTCTTTTTTCTTTATTTTGCCCTTTCTCCGTACATGTGTTTTTTTTTCTTCGAGTATACAATGCAGAAAAGAGGATTTAACTTAAAAGGTATGACAACTGTGGCTTTTGATATTGGCAGCTGTTTTACGAAGGTGTACTTTGGCGGAGATACACCTGGCAGGCGTGTCTTTAAGACACCGCTGGGCCTTCGGAAACTCAAAGAGCGTTTTGATATTACATTGGAAAGTGCGGTACTGGATTATTTCTTGAGGAGATTGTGCTCTGCTGTGGGTCTACTTGAATCTTGTAAACGGATTGAGGTGCTGGTTTCACCAGGGGATTATTCCCTGTTCACCCAGTACGTCCTGCGTTGGTTGGCTTCGGCCTCGCTTAGTAGATTGCCAATAGTTGTAGATGGCCCTTCTTGGTTGTTGAAAGCCCATGGGATGACAGACGGTTGTGTGGTGGACATTGGTTACCAAGCCACCCGTGTTGTTCCCATTCTTTCCTCGATTCCCGTGGTGGAGGCAATCACCATCGGTAGCGGAACAAGAGAGTTTCTTGCGCTGTCGGCAGAGGGATGGCTAACCTCATCCGAAGCCATTTCACCGTCATCATCATCATCACAATTGCAGGGTTTGCTAATTGAGATGTCGCAGTGCATATTCGTTCTTCTTGAAGAGGCCGTGGCTCATTGTAATGCGCATACACAGCGTCCTTTTGTCTCTGCTGTGTTTCTCCTCACAGGAGGTGGAGTCGCAGTGGAGGGACTAGTGAAGGGGATTCAATCTAGTGTTCTGAAAATGTGGCCTAACTCTCACCTGTTTTTTGCTGAAACAGCTTCTCCCGCCCTATGGAGTTTATCCCTCAACTCGTGAGAATGGCCGTATGTTTTGCATTTTTTGCATTCCCTTTATACTTGGTGGTTTTCCTTTTTGATTGTATTTTACGTCGTTTGTATCTTGTTACACGTCTCTACGTGACGCTTGTGATTTGTTTTCGACTTTTCCCTTTTTTTTTTTTTTTTAATTTCTTGTCAATTGCCGCATTGTGTCCCTGTGCTGGTGCATGCTCGTTTAAACATATAGTATTGGCCCATTTTCACGACTGTTATTGGATCCGGATGGTTCGGGAGAATTTGGATGATGAGAGTCTTATGGTAAGTGGCGATGCAGAGCGGATGTACCTTTTTGACCGCATTCAGAAACAGAAAGCAATGGAGAAGCAACAAGGGGTGAAATTTGTGTCGCGCAAGGGTCTTCCCACGCCATCCGTGGAAGAACTACAGTCAATCCGTGATCGACGAGGGAAACAGGCCGACATGATGAGAATGAAGAGACATGTGGAAGCAGTAGAGCGTCGCAAGGTGATGTGGCGCGACTATGTTTCGTATGAACCTCGGGGTTGTGGGGTGGAGCAAACCCATTCTACACACGTCGCCACAACTAGTCTGGAAGGGCGCGCGGTGGTTCTTTCGCCCCTTCTGGCGTTGTTTCGCATGCTGGTCTGCAATAACCGCGCCAAAAAACGGCTTGAGAGACTTCGCGAAGGACGATCACTGCTTTTGCCTGAGGTGATGTTCGGCTGCAATGAGGGTAAAACTGTTGCAGAGGTGGCGAGCATTGTGGATGAACACATGACGGTGGTGCCAGCTTGTGTTAATCGAGGAGGCCCGCTACCGAAGTTGTTTTTGGTGACAGGCTCATTCGATGCGAAACCCCTTCGGAGCCCGTTTGTTTTTCTTTCGAAACAGTACAGAACAGAACGTCTGCCGGAGTTTTCTCTCAATTTGAGCCAGGCAGTCAGTAAGGAGTACGCTGCATACGTGAAGCGTGATTACAAGGAATATTCCGCCGTAACACTTTCGGATTTTGCGCAACCACCTATAGCAATTGAAGCATTTGATGTAAATAAGAGAGCATATGATGTGGCCCACAGACGAAATTTCGTGTTGGGGTACGATAACTTTAGCACTGCGGCTCGACAATCACAACCTTTTCCTCGTGGCGAGAAGCGAGAAGAGGTAAATAAAACCGATGACGTGATGAATGGTATTGGGCTCTCACAGGAGCTCTCTCATCTTGGTATCCCTTCGGAACTAGCGGGGCCCCTGCCTGAAGACTCCATGAGCGGAAGTGACGACGGGGACTTTTCTTCACCGTTTCAGGCGGATATTTCTTGGTTGCCATTGTCTTCCATGGTAAAAAAGAGTGATGGTGAGGACTCACTGGGGTCGTGATTGAAGGTGCTGCACATGACGGTAAAGGCAATTTTTGTGAAACGAAACAACACCAAAAAGAAACAACAATGTTTTCCCTTTTTTTTTTCTTTCCGTCCCTCTCTCCCTATATATATAGTGTGTGTCTGTGGCTTAGCTTCCTTCATATGGTTGGCCTTATCATTACTGTTACGGATGCCCCTCACGTGTGATATTATTTATGTGTTTGTATGCACATATTCTTTTCTATGCCTGTTAATAAATGCATTAGAAATAAATCGTGGCATATGTCAATCAGGCTATCAGTATTAGGCGAATGGAAGTCTGATAGCTCAGTACAGAAGTGCGAAATATGTGAGGTCAAATTTAATCTCGGGTGCAGGCGTCATCATTGTCGGTACTGTGGCGGTATTTTCTGTGCGTCATGCTCGAGCTTTTTTGTTAAATTACAAAAGCTTCATGTAAATAAACGACGACGGGTGTGCCACAAATGTTTTGAATTTCTCTCAAAGACACCGCAAGCTACAAATCCGTCCTGTGCTAGTGTTCAAAGCCACCATAAAGAGTTGAACAGTGTGAATGCTTGTAATTGCGAGTCCGATCCTTTGACTACTGAATCCGCCCAGGCAACAACTGTTGTATCTTGGACGCCACGAAGAGGAGAAGATCGAAATACCGCAGGTACATTTCCCGACGTGAAGAATGCTGACGATGCTGATTTGGATGATGACGACGACGATGTTTCTGCTGCTGTTGCAGGTGTATACTCCTCTATGGATGATGGGCAACACACCGGTAGCCTCGCCTTTCTTGCTGCACTGCAAGACAACCTTCGGTATTCGGAGGGCTCTGACGTAATTCATGTTCTTATTTATGTATCAGCTACGAGGTATCAGGTGATTTTAGTTACGGTGAGTGATGGGGAAACCATGTTGATGCTCGCTAGGCGTTTGGTGGATGTGTACTTCAGGTTGGACAGTGGATCTTTCAAGTCGATTAGCACGGTTGAGAGAGAGATTTTACTGCAAAAACTGAGGTTTTCAAGTGAATCCATTGTTATAGAGAATGAGGCCAATGCGAGTGATGTGGCATCTCATTGTAAACACTTGGTTCTCTCGACTCTGTCTGTTTCCGAGCTGCAACGTGCGCACGGTGGGGATCCTATTGAGGGGTTTTTTCGTAGCGAGCTCTGCAATGAGAATAAGGACGGTATGATATGTTAGTCGTTGCCTTTTTATTTTTACCTTCACGTGTTTGTGTTTTTGTAATTTTCCGCGTGTGTTATTTATTTATTTTTTTCTTTTGTCTCCGGCACAATTTGCAGAAAATAAATAAATAAATAAACGCTCGCGAAATCGACAAGAAGAAAAATGACCCTCATTTGGCTGCCGTCTTTTTTTTTAGTGTTAAAAGAAAATTTTTCGTTGAAAAACTGTGAGTTTTCCCTCGTCTGCGTTCCCGCACTCACGGAGAAACAAAAGGAGAAGGAAAAACTTGAGAATTTTTTTCCTTCCAATTGAAATGCCAGTCCGCCCTCCTGTGGAATACGTGGATGCTCCGCCTTGCAATCCGCAGTGTTCAAAGCATCTCATATTTATTGATTTGCAGCGTTTTTAGTTGTTTTTTTTTTTTAGAAACTTTTTGGAACAAATGTACGAGTTGTGGGGGCGAATTTTGATGGTGCTGCGCGGGAAGGTGGCGGCTGCAGTTTCCTTCTGTCGTCCCACCCGCCTCCTTCATTGCGCGTCACGCGGTGCGGGGGAGTCCGGCGGTCAAAAGGGGCACTAAATTATGGCTGCAGCTCTGCTACTTTACGACGAGTTTGGCTGTTGTCGATTTATTTGTCTGATGGCTTTTGTTGCGTGTGCATGCGTGCTGGATGATTTTTCTTTGGAGCGCGTTGATGCGGAGCGATGTGTGGCTGAATTGTCTTCTCCCATTTTGTTGTGTTTTCCTCTTCTCACATTTCTGAGGATAAGACGTCAACGACCTCATCTAAGCACATGTTCTTTTCTTTTTTTTTTTTTTTTACGTTTGAAGAAAATGGACGTTTCCGCTTTTCTGAAGGAGTTTTAAAAGGGCGAGAAGGGAATCTGGCGACAGCGTTCCTTTTGGTGGCGAGGGAGCGCGGGTGCCGCAGGTGTAACAAACGCATTTTCACAAGACGCAACAACAATTGGACGTATTTTATCTCCGGACGACTCGGGGGAAAGTGAGCAGAGCATCAGCGATCGTGAAGCCGAAGATGCGCCGCCTTCATATCTGAGAAGCAAGAGGCAACGGTATGATGCATTTTGGCGGCGCACGCAAGAGGGAGGTTTGGGCCGTACACGCGAGTCTTTTACGGAGATAAAAACGTACCGGACGAATCGGTGTCCAAAGACGGACAGCGGCATCCCCAATGCGACAGTTCGGAGGGCAACTCACTCCATTCCTTTGCGAGTAGCAGCCAAGAGGGGTGGCGCGTCAACCGTTAATAAACTACGTGATGAGCTCTTGCGGAAAAGGAACTCTCTCAGTCAATCATTGGTGGTGAGGGAGCATACAGGCGGTTGTTTTGCGGATGATTCTCGGGAGTGTGCATTGAGCACAGGCGCTGGGGAATTGCTTGCCTGTGTAGATGATCTTATTGCCCCTGAGAACACGACTATGGATCAGTCTCCTTTTTTGAGTTGAGGATCGTGCGGCACAACTGCAAGCCAAAAATGAGGGTGATGTGGCCACAGCCACACCGAAATATTCCACGGAAGAGCCGCAGTCTTCTTCTCTTCCTCCTCTTCCCCCTGTTGAGGTGGAATTGCGCCATGAGAAACCCAGGACTGAAAGAGTGAGTTTGTTCGCTCGAGCAAAGATGTACTCTGGTGCGACTGCCCCTGTTGTGAATAGGGAGTCGGAGGTCTTAAATACGAGAAAGTTTTTGAAATGATTAGATTCTGACGAGGAGAAAACAATAACTACCACCACAACAACAAATGGATTCTTTTGAGATAAATTGGAGTTATTTCAGTTTCTATGCATGTGCTCATTAGGGAGGGGCATTGAGGATGATCTTTGGGTGCGGAGGGATTTTGGCATCACCGGAGTCAATTTTTTGTGCTCCATTTATATTTTCACGATGCCGTAGAATGGAAGAGAGGGGTGGAGAAGAGAAATAAAGAAGAGAGAGGTGGTCGCTTGAAATGGATCGTTTTATTGTTGGATCCCCAATTGGTGAGGGCCGCTTTGGCGTCGTTCGTGCTGCAGTTGTTAAGGAATCTGGAGTGCCAGCCGCAATCAAATGCATCACAACTCCACGACTCGATGAGGGTATTCCGCACCCCACGGCGAGGGAACTACTCGTTGCATTGCGATTGGTGCATCCTTTTGTTATTCAGACATATGAGGTGGTTCCGTGTGGCTGCTCCTTGGCGTTAGTGATGGAGCGTTGCAAGACTGACTTGGCAACAGTCCTCTCGGGGAGAACTGCCAGCAATCCTCTGCCCGCGTTAGAGGCAAAGTCTTTATTTAAAATGCTTCTTTTGGCGTTAGCGTACATACACAGCGAGGGTGTTCTTCATCGAGATGTGAAACCTTCAAATTGTTTCTTGACTGCGGAGGGGGAACTACGCCTCGGCGACTTTGGACTTAGTCGTGTATGGGATACGGAAGCATCCATGACTCACGAAGTCTTTTCGAGGTGGTACCGGGCTCCCGAGTTACTTCTGGGCCAGCGACACTACGGACCCGAAATTGATGTGTGGTCATCAGGGTGCGTATTTGCGGAACTTCTACGGGGGTACAGTGGTGCCTTTTTTTGCAGGCGATGGAGATATTTGGCAGTTGTCACGAATATTTGATGTATTAGAGACACCGACGCCCACATCGTGGCCATCGGCGGTGCTGCTTCCCGATTGGGGAAAGGTGCACTTTGAGCCGAAGCGTCCTCTTCCTCTCCATGAATTTTTCCCGGATGCCTCTGAATGTGCATTGGATTTGTTGCGAAGATTACTTTGCCTGGATCCTCAGAAGCGTTTGACTGCGGCTGGTGCCCTTCGTCACGCCTACTTTAGTGAATACCCAGCGTGAAGGTCCATGGATAAAGGGACGCGGGGCCTATGTGTGGTGTGCGGGGATGAAAATTGGAATTGCTCGTATAAATGCGTGCTTATTTTCATTGACAATCCCTTTTGGTTGTTGTTGTTATTTTAATGGGTTATTATTATTATTATTTTGATTACTGTTTAAATTTTATTTTTATTTTTTAATTATATTTTGTATTTGTTCTTGTGGATTTTTAACTGTGAAGCCCAAGTTTTATCCAAAGTAAAAGAAAACTAACGCGTGTGCGAGAGAGAAGGAGGGTGACGAGCACATATCCAACATAATAATGTATCGTTGCTTTCATCATTTCTCCACGTTGCCACTGGCGTTTGTACGACGGACTGCTACAAACAGTTACGTCAATCGCCATATTGCACCATCAGCGGCAGAATCAATTTCTATGCTTCGAATAATTGGCAAGGAAATTCTGTCGGACCGCATGACTGCTGTGATCCCAGAGAATATTTTGCGAAGTCCTTTAAAAGAGGTTCCGGCGATGAGCGAGCAGGATGCCCTTTCGCTTCTCCATTCACTGGGTTCACGGAATAAGGTATTAAAGAGCATGATTGGGCAAGGATACTATGAGCCAGGGCACACCACCCGTAATACTTCGTAAAGTTATCGAGAATCCTGCATGGCACGCCCCATACACTCCTTTCCAGGCTGAAATATCTCAAGGCCGTCTAGAGTCCCTGTTGAATATTCAGTCCATGATTATAGACTTGGCAGCTGTGAATTTGGCAAAAGCATCTCTTCTTGATCAAGCTACTGCATGTGCTGAGGCAATGTACCTTGCCTTTCATCATGGTCAAAAGGAGCGCATGACCTTTTATTATTATCGAGGGATGTCTTGCCATCTTGCGTAGAGATGGTAGAAACAAGGGCTGAGCCCCTTAAAATAAAGGTCGTTGTTGGTGATCCAAATTTGATTGATTGGAGCG